GGCTACATCCTAAATTAATGCGTCAGAAAATATTCAACTGTAATTGTTGTGAAACTGATTTAACTTGATGAGGGTACATGACCTATTGTCAACTTTGTAAGGCAGTCCAGACAAGAAGCACACCCAGATGTGCTAGCAGTGTTTGCCTTAAGGTTTTGTTCACGCAAACTTGCACGTCTGAAAGTCTATCTCTCCCCCTTCGGCTTTCCGGCCCAAAAACCTGGGGAAGACCCTCCTGAGACATTTCCCAGGCCCCTCTCCTTCAGGAAGGGCTGCAACTTTTTCTGCAGCTTCTTCCTCTTCCGTCTCCCGAGGTCATTCCCACACTAACGCTTCATATCTGACTTCACAAAATGAACACAGCCAGAGTAGTTTGCAAACCATTATTTGTGGCTTATGTGAATCTTACCAATTACTCAATAAGCTATAGCTATGCAAACCATAATTTAGCACTTTTACACTTACATTAGCAATTCCACCAGTCGCCGGCACACTCCTGAATCTATGACGGCCTGGATTTTCTCATTGGGTCCATCCGACAGATAGGAAAGTGCCCAGCAGGCATCTGCCAGCAAGTCCGAGTCGCTGCTGAAGAGCAATCGAGACAAGACCGGCAAACAGGACGACACCTGCCCAAAAGCGCAATTGCAAGAGACGGTGAGAACACGGGCCCCAGGGGAAGCTACAGGCACTTCAGCAGCTCTGGGCCGAGTTTTATGTGTGTAAGGTCAAATCTCTCATTACATGTTCAATTCAGAAATACAGCTTGTATATTCGAATCAGTGCCTCGTGCTATAATCACACTAAACATTTTAGAGCTGGTAAATCTTGATCCATAGACACAGCAGTTTATTTATTTTATTTAGCATATGGCATATCACAGATGGACTAGCATTACCTATTAACATTTCACCTAGATTAGTAAAACACAATAAAATATGAATGTTAAAAAGATCTATGTTCAATTACCAAAGTCTAGGCCAGGGGTAGGCAACCTTGGCTCTTTTATGACTGGTGGACTTCAACTCCCAGAATTCCTGAGCCAACCTGGCTCAGCTTGGAAACCTCTCCCTTTCCCCTCAGCGTGGCTGGCTCAGGAATTCTGGGAGTTGAAGTCCACGAGTCATAAAAGAGCCAAGGTTGCCTACCCCTGGTCTAGGCTATCTAAACACTGAAGCACAGCATCTTTTAGATTAAAAAAAATCAGCTACTGGACCAGTAAATCCCCTCAGCTTACAGCCGATGTGATCTATAGTTTGACTTGGAACCTGGCAGTCACACTGAGTGGGGGATGCTACGCCCCATTTATACAGCAAGTCCCAGGAGACGCCGTGTGAGGTGCAAATCCTATTCAAGATTGTCCATTGCCGATGTGGTAGTTCAAAGCTTGGCACCTTTTTTTGTGGGGTCATTTCTATGTCTGCCTGTGTCTGTGCATTCAGCAACCCATTTAGCTTTCCACTGGGATCGATGTTAAAGTCGCTGGGCAGATGTCGTGCAAGGGCCAGTGGGGATTTCCTGGATTTGAGCCTTCTGCTGATAAACGAGGAAGGCCGGCGTGCACCAGTAGGAGTGAATTCATATTTTTTCTGCATTCTCTCACTACTGCATCTAGCCTTCGTGAGGCTGGTGGTGCTATATGGCTCAGAACACGATGCCAGCAAGTTGGAGTGGTTTTAATACCTATGCTTTACTGTTTTCACATGTACTAAACTGCAGGTGCTTTTAAATGTGAGGAGGAGAGATAAGTGATAGGAACAAGAAGTGTTAATACCCAGCCTAGATAAAGCAGCGTTTCTCCACTGTGCTGGCTGGGGAATTCTCGGAGTTGAAATCCACACATCTTCCAGTTGCCACGCTTGAGAAAGCCTGTGGAACGCAAGAGATGCCTGTGGCTAGGAAAATAAAGTAATCCACATTTGGATCTTACCTTCTCAAACTCTGGAGGTGGGTTCTTCCCTCTGCAGAGATTCGACAAAGCCCAGACTGCATTTCGTGTCATTGTCAATCTAGTAGATTTTGTGAGGAGCCTGAAATATAACCAGATGATGCTTAAGTCCACATTACAGCCTCTGGGCCTAAACCAAGCTATTTAAGGGCTTGGCAACTGTGTCCCCATAAACAGTCCTAGCAGTCAGATGGTCCGGGGAAAACAAGAAAATAAGTTGTGGTTCTTCTAGGACAAGTTCACCCCATTCAGCACTTGCAGTCTAAGGAAATGAAGGGCTACAAAGTGGTGGAATTTCTCCCAGCAGCTACTCACAACAACAAAGGAGGAAGGATGCCACAATTTAGGACATAGTCACGGCAGGCAGAGCTGTCTCCAGCGATGTTCCCCAGTGCCCAGACAGCCTGGAAGAAGAGCAGGGGCTTCAGGACTCAGTCCTTGAAGGGGGCATATTAAGAGCAACAGCGAAGCAGGCAGGCAGTCTCAGTAAGGCCTTGCAAATGAATCGCTGAGCGTAGTCACTTCCATGCTGTCCTTCTCCATCCAGCAGCTCCAGCGCATGGAGGAAACCTGGACCGTGCAACCCCTTGCAGCTGTCCCTCCTCTAGAGAGCTACTGCCCCACATTTGATGATTTCATCCCCCTTCTATAATCCAAGCCTTCCAATACCTACTAGGGGTCTGTGCTTCTTTCTTGCCAACTGGCTCAGCTCTCATGCCAGACAAAGCAGCTTACCTCACCCTAGGCCAGGGGTAGGCAACCTTGGCTCTTTTATGACTCGCGGACTTCAACTCCCAGAATTCCTGAGCCAGCCCACGAGTCATAAAAGAGCCAAGGTTGCCTACCCCTGCCCTAGGCAGTCTGACGCATCTGTGACATCACAACAGCAGCAGAGCCTGAAGGCTAGACCACTGAGTCCCAGGGTGATACAAGAGCCAGTTGGGTCATCCTACCTCATAGGGTTGTTGTGAGAATAAACTGAGTGAAGGACCCCTACCCTAACGTATGCTGCCTTCCAGGGAAAAGGCAAGTAATCATGTGATGTAATTACACCATAATTAGACCACAGAACATAGAATAACAGAGTCAGAAGGGACCTCGGAGATCTTCTAGTCCAACCCCTCTGCTTTAGCAGGAGACCCAGCACCATTTCAGACAAACGCCTGCCCAGCTTCTTCTTAAAAGCCTCCAATGAAAAAGCACCAACAACTTAAATATAACTGTAAACCTACAATGTGATGGGACAGTTCAAAGTGTAGACAAGAAATGCAGAGTGGCTAGATCACAGTCAAAAACATTTCCACGCCTCAGGCATCTCCCTAAATAAATAAACAAATTTAAAAAACACCCAAATCATGTGAGAATCAGTCATTTCAGTAAAGTTTAAACTGGGCAGCTGCTGCCCTTTGAGGACACTGTTGATCATGTCTTGTTCAGGACCCGAGCTAGTTTGTTTTGTCGCAGAAATGCTTGAGAGAGAATGAACAAAAGCTCAAGAGCTGCCATGAAATCAGTAGCTCAGGTCTGAGCCTCACCTGCTCTTGGACGTCTTCAAAATCAGCACTTAGCAATTCAATGAAGATCGGGACTGCTCCGGCCTCGATCACTATCTTAGTTTGTAGTGAGGTGCCAGAGGCGATGTTGGTTAACGCCCACGCAGCTTCAAACTGGAAGAGACGCAGCCAGTAAACGACTGATTTCAGTGGAGACCCACAACCGATTAAGAAACAGGTAACTTTGGGATTAAACCTCAACAGAGCAAACTGGAGTTCCAATTTGTTCCAAGGGGGGAAAGCATTTCACAAGGCAAAATAATTCAGAAATGAGACCTCCTAACTCTGGCTGCCATTTCTAACCTGGTTTCAACTGAAATCTTCCAGAGGACAATTATCTATGGAGGAAGGCCATAAAATAGATCCCATTTCACTGACCCTGGGGAGGGAGGAATTCCCCTTCGGCAGGAGGGCAACAGCCTGTTTGAGTGGCAGCTTTTTCTTCAGTGGTGCTGCTGCCAGCCTTCCCCCCCCCCAAGAGGCAAATCAAAGGCAGAGGTGCTGCCTGTTTGCCACCACTCACAAGACCAAAACCAAGGGGAAAAGCTGGAAGGAGGCCAAAAAGGCCAGGGAGGCCGGAGAAAGGCACTGCAGAGCTGGATCCCGGAGGAATCACTGGTGTCTGGTTTTCAACCATAAACTGCCCCTCAGGAAGGATCTTTATGGATCACTTTATTAAAGCATGATTAATAACCTTTGAAGAACTGATAGCCTACACTTGTTCAGGAATAAAGAACTAATAATGGAGTATTCCTATCCCACATACCCCTCAACAAAATACCCTATGTTTAAAGCCACAGCAGGTTATGGCTTCAGTCAAATTTGCAGACTTTGAGACACTCAAATAATGGTTTTACATTTTTAATAGTAATTTGATTAAACATAATAGCCATAAGTCTCCTTTTTTGGTATTGCTTTGAAGTGAGATGTCTTTGATCACGATCACCAACGTAAGCGGGACAAAGACCGGGCAAGCTGCAAAGCTGATTAAGATCTTCAAAGAGCGAGCCCAAGAAACAGCTGCTCCCCCCCCCACTTACCTGTAGTGTGCTGTTTTCACTTCTCTTGAGGAATTCAACAAACCTGTCCACCACTCCCTGAGTGCTTATCACCTCGTCGATTGGAGGATTGGGCTCTAGAATAAAATTTAAAAAGAAATTGAAGGGAAGGAAACTTAAATATGTATCAACCAGCACTGGGTAAGGCTTGCTTGTCCTTTAGGAGAGAGGGAATGAACATCACAATCCCAGCTTGCACGTAGCCCCGTGCAGACACGCCATCCCCATGCATATTTAGTCTCTCCATCTAACTGCCTGCCCAGTTGAAGCTGTTGCATATTCTGTATAACACAATGTACACTTGCATATTATCCGTGTTTAGCCAAGTACGTTCATTACACACTATTGGGCACCTCTGAACGTAACTGTTGAAATTTAAGGCATTTAAAAATAAAGTGATTTTAAATTCGGTAGAATTAAAAAATGAGCAGCTCAGACAGTCTGCTCCTGCGATTAGATTTTATCTGTACATTCTACCCACCTATAGGACATTTTCAGATGTTTCTGGCAAAGTATTTGAATGACAAATAGACCTCGAGGGCCTAACAGAAACACCAAGTTAATTTCACCAACTCTTCTTTAAAAAGTTACCGCTGAATGTACCTTTCGAAAGTAGCTTCCTGAACCGCTGGGTAGTTACTAACTGAAGATCAGGATCTTCAGAGAACAGCATTTTCACCATCTCCATTGTGATCACGCCCTCCTGAAAAGATCAGATATTCATCCATCCATCACCAAATCCGATGCCCACCTTTTATAACAATTCTCAAACTTTCAGGATTATTCCAATTTTCAGGGAGAAGATCCCAGGCTAGGGTTAAGAAAAAAGACATCTAAATCCCAGGATATCCTTTTAAAAACCTTCCCAGAGATACAATAAGGTATATTGTACCAAAGCAGATAAATGGGTCGCCTAGCCCAAGGATGGAGAACCCGAGGCCCTGCAGGGGCAGCCGATAAATGCCCTTTTCTAGCTCAAACCTGGTTGCTAATGCTCAAAATGAAATTGGCAGGTCGATTTCCCGAGCTTTTGAGGCAGAAAACATTCACAAAGTGCATGGAGGTTTCTTAGTATCTGTAGATGTCTTACTGATACTGACCAAGAGAGAGAAGAAAGAAGGAAACATGCTATCTCTACTTACACTACCAGCTGTAGAGCTGACCGAGGAATCGACCAGGGGACTGTCAAACATAGCACCATCTTCATTAATTAGCTCCACATTTCTCCTTTTAAAGAGCTGCAATGGAAAATGAATGAAATTATAGGGGAACAAACCAAACCCTGATTTAGGTCACCTGCAGATTGCTAAATAGCTCCTCTGCACTTCAGTGTTGTAACCCAACATTGGCAATCATCCTACTTTTGATGCTTCATCAAGCAGAAGCTCATCTCCCAATTTATGCTTGCAGATATGAGAACATTTCCGTTCTAAAGGTAAGGCTTGTGGCTTCACTGAAGAGTAGCTTGACGTGATTATTCTTATTCCTTAGTACTATTGCAAGGCAGCACCATCCTTGAGCTCCCAAATCACTCTTAGCCAGGCCGCACAAGGGCAAAACTTAGTCTGGCTTGGCACTCACGATCTACAAACGTAGAGGGACACACCCATTTCATACTCCTCATCATAAGTCACTCCAAACTGTTTTCGTGGGTTCATTACTCTAAAAAGTTAATACCCCTTCCACTGCCAACCACACATAAGCGACATATAAAATGTATACTAAATTCATGCACACGTACACAGCGTTTTAAGAGCAAGGAACCCAACAGGAACTGCTACTACCTTGGCAGTCCTACGGCATCTTCTTCCTTCCTTTTTCTGAAGATCATCCAGAACAAGACGTAAAATAAAGCTGGCACAGAGTTAAGCAATGAGCTGCCTCTCAACAGCTGCTCATCCCAGAACTGCCCTCACTAAGCAACCTTTTCTTTTCACCACCAAGCAGATACACGTTTTGCTCGCTACCTGAGCAGGTGGGCAGTGGTCAGTGGGCTGGCAGGAATTCTAGTGCCAGGAGTCAGAAACCTACCCTGGTTTATATTCTCAGATAGTGATTTACTACCAGAGCCTGAACAACCTTCAGCCCGTTCTACAATACAAGTAGTTCTTGACTTATGACTGGCCACTTTAACGACCATTTGAAGTTACTATGGGCGTCTAAAAGATACTTATTGTATAACCCAGCTCCGACAGCCATACTTCCAGTGGTCACATGACCGCATTTGGTTGCTCAGCAACCGGCCTGATTTTGAGCCATTTGAAGCATCTCACAGTTCTGTGAATATGATTTATGTTTTTGCAAAAGTGCCCCCTAGAGAACAACAGGTTTCACTTAACCACCACAACATACATTAACCAACTGATGCAAAAAAGGTTGTAAAATTGCATCTGGTCACACGATGCCACTTTACGGCCATCACAATTTATGACTGTAATGGGCAGGCATCATTACAGTCATAAGCTGAGGATTATCTGTACTGTACAAAGAACAGTCGGCCTATTATAGTTGTTTATAATTTAAAGACTATTTAAATAATTTCACTAGACTTAATTTGTTTGCATTTTTACTGCTTTCCTAACCTCATTTTATAATATCAAACCATAAATAATCTTAGTTTAATTTTATTATTATTAGCAGGAAAGATTCTCTAATTGCCTTCTCCCATTTCCTGTTACAGCACAGCACCGGAAATAATGCACACTCGGGGAAGAAGGTGCTCTCATCCTGCTGTTCAAACATTTACATCTTTAGTGGCCAAATGACCACACCAATCTTTATAATCTAGCACTGAGGTCTCCTCCCATTTATCTCTGGAATTGTTGGCGCCCCATCACTGGAGGCTTGCAAGAAGAGATTGGACCGCCATTTGTCTGAAATAGGCCAGGGTTAGGTCACCATGAACTCACAGAGCAAAATGGACATCGCCAACAAATTCGGAGGGCTTGGGTATGGTTAGAAAGGCATTGACTTTTCTAGGCTGCCCTATCTATGTTTCCTGGTAAAATACATGGGAAAATCCCATTGGGGGAAATTCCACTTAGGGTTAGGGTTAGGTCACCATGAACTCAAGAGAGGAAAATGGACATCGCCAACAAATTCAGAGTGCTTGGGTATGGTTAGGAAGGCACTGACATTTCTGGGATGCCTTATCAATGTTTCCTGGTAAAATACATGGGAAAATCCCATTGGGGGAAATTCCACTTAGGGTTAGGGTTAGGTCACCATGAACTCAAGAGAGGAAAATGGACATCGCCAACAAACTCGGAGTCCTTGGTTATGGTTAGGAGGGCACTGACTTTTCTAGCCTGTCCTATCTGTTTCCTGGTAAAATACATGGGAAAATCCCATTGGAGGACAATTCCACTCGTCTCGACACCTCTTTCTCTGCACCGCTTCTGGCTTCTCACCTCTCCCCGCCCAGTCCTTGCAGCTGCTCCCTGACTCCCAGTGCAGAGAAAGAAAGTGAAAGTGATGGCACATGTGGAGAGAGGAAGGGGAGCAGCCTGACCCCGCCTCCCTCTGGGGCAATGGCGCGCGTGCCCACAGGGACGGCTCTGCATGCCGCCTGTGGCACATGTGCCATAGGTTCGCCACCACGGTTATAGGAACTCCTGCTTGAGCAGGGAGTTGGACTAGAAAACCTCAATAGTGCCTTCCAACCCGGTTATTATCTGTTTTGCTGTTCTTCAAAGCATTGACTGCCAAGTATCAGATAAGGCAAAAATGGCAAGCCCAAAGAACACTTCTACTTCACTCCAGACCTTTGCGTGAGCAATCAAAAAAGGAAGCAGGTCCCTAATGAGGCAGGGATCCCTTACCTGCTGCTCCCGTTTCTGTTTGCGTAGCTGGATCCCCTCCTCTTCTCTCCTCCGGCGCATCTCCTCTGGGTTCAAAGCTTTGTTTTTGTAACTTTTCATTCTGTAATTGTTGTCTTTTGCTGGGCTCGCCATGGTTTCTGCAGGCCAGGAAAAAAACACACCATCTTTTTTGCATAATCAATAGAAAATACTCTCATCATGTCCTGGGGCTGAAAGACACCAAAGGATGCTATTATCTGGAGGCCTGTTCAAATTATGCAATGAGTCACTCCACTGCATTCGTCTGAAAAAATCCTTGGCCTTTACCTAATATAATCCTTCAAAGTTTTTCAGGGCCTTTTCAATTAATCTATACAAATACAGATGAGATGAAACTCAGCTCAACAGCACTAACTGCGAGAGGGATCTTGGGATCTTAGTGGACGATCACTTAAATATGAGCCAGCAATGTGCGGCGGCGGCCGTTGCCTCGGCTCCTCTCGGGGCGCCCGGGCGCTTCGGAGCCCGGCTTCCCCCACCGGGCGTTTGGCCAGGCTGCCCGGGAGGTGGAAGAAGCGCTCCCCTGGAACCGAAGCGGCCTCCTCGGCGGCAAGGGAGGAGGGCAAAGCGGGCCAGGGCGGGGAGGGAGGCCGGCCGGGTCCGAGGGGCTTCCGGGGTCTTTCCTTCTCTCCCCGGGGCCCCAACAGCGCCCGACTGACTCGGCCTCTCGGCGGGACGAGGCCACCGGGCGGCCGGACGCCCCGCGCCGAAGGCTGCGCCCTCTGAGGCCTCCCGGCGCTGCAGCTCCGGGCCACCCTCGTCCTTCGCGCCGAAGGCCCAGCGCTCCGCCGGGGACCGCAGTGCGGGACGGCAGGAGGGNGCGCCTCCGGGGACGCCCGGCGGGGACCCGGGCCGGGACGCGCGCGGAGGGGGGGCGGCGGGGGTGGAGGGCTCCGCCGGACGCTCACCCATGTCCGCCGCTCCTTCCCGTCCCTCCTTCGCCGACAATATGGCGGACGGGCCAATGGGCCGAGCAGACGGGCCGGCAGGGCGGGGGAGCAAGGCGGGGCTTAATAGGGCTTAATAGGGCCGACGGCGGCCGAAGCGGGACAGCGCGTGCGGCCAGCGCTCGCGCCCAAGCTCCGCCCCCGCCACGCCTCCTGGCCGGGGCCGCTGCGGCTCGGGGCTCGCGGGCGCCTCGCAGCGGCCGGGCGAAGCGCTGGCGGTTTGTCTGCTTGGCGGCGTCTTTGAAGGCCCCGCTGAGGGAGAAGAGCCGGAGGTAACTTTCCCTCAGGAAACGAAACTCTTTCTTTATTTTTAATCCTTGTTTTCTTTTTATCTCACAATTTTTATTATTTTTATTTATCAAATTTAGAAACGGCCCATCTCCCTCCCAGAGGGATTCTGGCCATAAAAACGGTATGTAAAAAAATAAAACTGAGGCAATGATAGTTAGAGTTCATTAAAGATAATTAAAACTTAATTAAAATGCTGGGAGTGGGCCTTAAAGACTAACCGAGCCCAAGAGAGATGGCTGGGGGAGGGGGGAGGCCCAGGAGAGCCCCCTCCTCGTCTGGGGGGGGGGAGAATGTCAGTACAGGAGTATAGTCAATACTCCAGCTAAGTAAAAAAAAAAGGTATTTACTGTATCTTTTTAAAACTGGCCGTTTTAAAAGATTTTTTAACTCTGTCAAATATTCATGTGGCTACAATTAAAACACACAATGTGTTAAAAAAAAAAAGCCAAGATCACCAAACGGAGGCCATCATAGTTTGTCAAGTCATGAGACTTGACTCATTCAAAAAGTCAGTCATGCTGGGAGCGATCGGTGGAAAAAGCATCGCTGGCTGGACGCTATCAAGGATGACACACCGGGATGACCCTGGCGGATCTGAAAGAGGCGGCGTGAGACAGAGGGGCAGGGAGAGCGCTGGTCCAGAGCGTGGTTGAGGGTCAGACACAACTGAATGGCTGATGGTGATGACAAGCATGAAAGTTCTCAGGAGACGTTCCGGAGCAGAAGCCGTCCTCCTTGACTCAAAAGTCACCCTCCAAATTCCAGCGGAGGCCAAGAGAGAGAAGAGGGCGCCAGAATGGAACCACCCCTTCTTCCACTTCTGGAAGCCAACTGGGTCCCCACGGACCCTCACTTCAACCCCCACGCTCACAGAGCTGGCAACCCACAGGAAGAAAGAGAAGAGATGCTGATCTAGGTGGTTCTGTCCTCTGGGAGAAGGGCAGAGGAGGAACAGCCGAGGAGCAGATTCTGCTACTGGGACTGGTTGGTTCACATTATCCAGTGGGTGGGCCAGCCCCACTGTGGATGGACTGGGGAACCTGGCTAATCTCTGCAAGGGAAAACTCTGAGCACCCCGATGGATGCTTCCCACCTCTGTTGAAGCCTCAGCTCGGCCCCCTCTGATGTCAGTGGGGAGGGGGCTCTGGCAGAGAGAAGCAAAGCAGATTTCCAGGAAGGACCGTCACAGAAACATTTTAAGGTGTCCTTTTATTAAAATGTGCGTCACTGTTCTGTGTGGCTTGCTTCACTGTTGTCTGGCTGTCAGTGTGTTTCCTGGGACAGCCGCTGTGGCCTCAGCACTTGAGCCGACCTGGGCAAATCTTCAGGTAGTTCGTGGCCTGTGGCTCCCACCCATGGCAATGTAGACATCAATGGGGACATTGGGCAAGGTCAGGCAGTGGCACCCTGGACATCTTCGCAGCTGCCTGCCCAGGAGAAAAAGAGGGAGGGAGAGGAACCCGTTGGGTTTGTTAGAAAGTGCAGATGCACTACCGCCCAAGATGGCAAAATTGGTCCCAGGATGTCCCCCTTTAAAAAGAGGGAGAAAAGCCTTTTTCTGGGCATAAATTGCTTTCTAAACTTCACTGACTGAGCTTTTCTAATGTGGTACATCATTTGTTCCAGGTCTCCCTCTGGCTGGAGGGTCAGTGCAAAGGGACACAAAACAAGGCACATATCTGACCCACTTGGCATTCACAAAGAGGGACACTCACAGCCACGTGTGGGCCCAAGTCCCTTTTTTCCATGCCCTTTTTGCCTTACTGAAACTTGCTGATTTTCAGCTGTAAATAATTTGAAGATTTCAAAGAGGAAAGGGGGCAAAAGAACCCCCAAATTCATTCCTCAAGTCAGTGTTTCCCAACATTGGCTGCTTTAAGATGTGTTGACCAGCTCCCAGAATTCCCCAGCCAGTAAGGGTTGAATTCCACACGTCTTAAAGTGGTCAAGAATGAGATATGCCGCTCTAGTGACACCCCTGCAGGCAACTCTGATCTCTGAAGACTCTACAAAATTGAAACTGCAAGGAGGAAATAACTTCACTAAGGGGACGTTCTATGGCACATACCTTGCTGAAATAAAGGGAAGAGTAGCCATGCAGGGAGGGAAGAGAGAATTTGGTCCTGAATTAAAGTGTTTTCTCATAAAATATTACCTATACTCATAAAGGCTATATATGGAACACACTTTGATTGTGCCCGAGACCCTGAATTCCTCTCCACTGCCACCATCTAATCCACGGGAGGAAATCTGGTTCTCGCTAACCGGAGTGTGCCTAAGGCCTGTCTTGCATCGCTTGAAAAGACGGCCATTAAATACATGGGAAACTGAGGTGCTGCAAAACAAAGGGCCAAATACAGCATCCACATAATTTCCACTCATGCCAGGTGATGAGTCCCCCAAATTTTGATCACATCAATGTGGGGATGTTGTGATGCTTGTGAGCACAACAACTTGTTGTAAGTCCACTTTTTTCAGTGCCATTGTAACTTTAGTCGCTAAATGAATGGTTGAGGACCGCCTGTACTCAGCCATGTTCTCCAATGCTACCTTCTTAAGCTCAGCTCTGGGCTTGCTTTCTAAGCAAAGTTAACATGGAGCTCGGGGATTGCTGGAAGATTCCGCCCCTGGGTTGCCATTTACCCAGCATCCTTAAAAGGACATTGGTGTATTCCTTTGGACCACTTCTCTTTCCCAAGGGAGACCCCCTTTCCCACCCTTGGACCAACACAAAGCCCATGGAATGACCATCACGCTTCTCTTTAAAGGCCGAGGAGCAGCGTGGGCACTTCTGCTTCTCTTTGCCAACTCTCTGCTCACCTTGTTGCAGCACGCTCGGGGGCAACGGGCTCCTGAGTTTCGGGGGCCGTTGCCAGGCTGGGAGAATCTCCTGCCTCTATTGGGAATCTCCGAGCTTGTGGGGTCTCTTGGGAGCTCATGTCCGAGCCCCAGACCTGTCTGTTGAAGAGGAGAAGGGTGAGCAGGACGACGGCCCTCCTTTGTTCAATGCTTCACATCACCCCCACTTCGGAGACCCCCAAATGGCCCTAGAAATGCCTTGGGAAAGGGTGGCCATGGGGACAAGGCAGAGGACGAAGAAGAGCAAACCAACGCCGCTTAATCTGGCAAGACAAGGGGGCCCATGGAGGGACCCGAGGAATTTCTGGGGCTCCCACACTCAGACATTCATCAGCCCATTGAGGAGTGTGATTTTTGTATTCCCACTTGAGCGATCTTACTTTTTGCATGCAGTGTCTCAAAATTATTTTAACACATAAATGGGGGGGGGGGAAGAAGTAGGGAGTCAGGTGATAGAGTTGGAAATGAGACCGAAGGATCCCGGCCTCTTCTCTCCAGTGGTCTCCCCCAGAGTTTTGTCTGGTTCCACCATTGCATGGTCCAGGAGAGACCTGGTTCTTCTCCTTGGCCTTAAGGACTGAGTGAATAAGGAGCCACCTTCCAGTTTTGCTTTGTTTTTGTTTTTTTTTGTTTTTCTTTTGATCTGACTTGTTTGGATCTTGTTTTTATTTTATTTTGCTCTTCTGGTCAGCTGTCTTTCTATTAATATTTGACTTTTAACTGTAAGTCACTCATAACGTTTAAGAGTCAACTAGCCTATAAATTAAAATTTAAAAACATCTTTAAAGAATGCAACAGGTGGATCCTATGCAGGTTCCTAGTACTTCTATATTTCTGATTGATGTAACCCAGCCTTAATGGGATCACAGACTATTAGAAACTTCTACATAACCAGCTCGAGTTACCCCGTATCTGGACCGTTTTTCATCATATAATGGCTCTATTTAAATTTTGACCCTGTGCCTTTTGCGGCACTCAGAGCCTGGCACAGAAACCTTCTGCAGGAGAAGCGTCCTCACTGGGTGGCTTCAAACCCAGGATCTGAGGTTGAAGTCTGAAGGCCTTCCTGGTTGAGGGGCAAGGGGAGGGTGGGAGGCACTGCCCACCCCACGGACAGAAAGGAGCCCCCTGGCTTTCCTCCTGCCACCCTCTGAGCCTCGGCCTCCCCACCGCTCTGCCCTGGCCTCACCTATCGAAGGAAGGCGGAGGAGAAGTGCTCCCTACAGTCGACCTGACAGCTTGAAGGGCCTACTGCAAAGGGCAGGCTGGGAGAGAGCCCAGAGGGAGGCCAGGGCGCCACTTCCATTGTGATGCCCAAGGGAGGCGCCTGCATCACAATGGGGCCTGGTCTTCTCACTGCTTGGAGTTCCAGGCTAAGGAATGCCAGCCCTCCACCAATCACCTTCAGGCGGTTCCTTTCCTGATCCTGGGAAGCGAGAGCCTCTGGCATCAAAGGCGGCCTTCTTCCTGGATTGCTCCCGGCGTCCGTGCGGTGGGCAGGAATGGGGATAGCCCAGAGCCTCCCATGAAGGAGCCAACAAGACCAGTAGGAAAAGCCTAAAAGCCTGGCTCTGCCGCTTGGCCTGGGGCCACGGGGGAGGGGGGGACTAGCTATATTGGGAGTGGCTGACCAGGTAAAGAAGCGTCTCTTCCTCAGGCCGCCCGTCATCTTTGTTTTTAACTTTTAATTTTTTTATTCATTTTTTTTCTACCTTTAATTGTTCTTAAGCACCTTTTAACTTTTTATTGTATTGTTAAGTCACCCAGAGTCGCTGTACCAGTGAAATGGGCGGCATAGAAATTTAATAAGACTGAGCATCCTGAAC